CGGGATGTAACAAAACTAAACAGTGAATGGGAAAGGTTTGTATACAGGCAAGTGTCTAAGGCTTTGATTGTATAGTCAACTGTTTCGTGTGACAGCTAATGTAAACAATCGGGCTTGATCAAATGCATGATCCAACACTTGCAATGACCATGGCACTGTCATCTAGGTCGCCTTGACAATACGATCAAGCTGCGCAAATCTCGGTAATTCACTTGTATACTGCAAAGGGAGTCTGAGACCGAAATAAAGGTCACACCATAATGATCCTTTTCTCTGTGGATAACTGTTGTTGGGTTCAATTAGAGTCACTAGAGGTGCGTGCAAAAGTTGCTTCAGTGTAAGACCTTTAGTCGGCCTAGGTCATTTGAAAAGGTCTGGTCTGTGGGTGCAATTGAGTTTCACTTGGCCTAGCTTCCAAAAGGGTATTCTCATCTCGGCTGAACTGGACGGCAGTTTCGACTGGCACCCTACTCAGCCTATGCCGACTAAAGCTATTTTTTGATGATTTGATCACGGCTTCAATTACTTTACGAAGAAACTGTTACTTGAGGCGCTACGACTAGGTTACTAGCGGCCAACGACATCATTAATTTGGGGCTCATAAGTCAAGATTACACAAGTAACTGACTATCTATCCTTTGGAATGTGTAAAGGTATGGACATCCCTATTGTCTTAGTTATGTTTACGTGCATCCCAACTTTAACCGTATATAGTACTGCTTTGGTTTCCAAACTACCAATTTATCTCTAGTCAGAGTTCCAATCAACCTATAACTGATAGTTGAATTTTGCTATAATCATATGAGTAGTAAGCCTCACATTTCCATTGAATTTCACATAGCCTTGCTTCCAAAAAGGTAGTAACCTCGAGGATGGACTGCATTTTGACTTGGCCTGGGTTGCTGTTGCAAATATAGTCCAAGCTGAATGAGAATACCTCTTGGCAGGCAAGGCCAAGTGATATCTAATAGCATCATGAATCCCACTCATATGCTTGGGGGAAAATTTAATTTTCAATCCTTCATCACCTCATGCAATCTAGGATGAATAGAACTCTTAGGCTAGATTAATAAGTATTAGCTATTGCTTTCTTATGGTCTCACTCAATTGGTAGCCTTGATGTAATATTTTTCGCTTAGATCGTGGAACCTTACATTTAGTTTGAATTAGTCTGTGAAAGGAACCTGTCTATTGGCCACACAGTTACATTGCGCCTGGTAGCTCTCGAAAGACTCTTCTGTAATTATAATGAACTTTCAGCGATGCTGTGTTTCTTTCGAAGAATTTTAGTAAGCCTAACATAAAATGATAAAATAGAATATAGAAAAAAGGGAATCAGAGGCTTTATCTAATCACATGGAGGTACTAAAATAGGCAGTTATAGGGCAGGAGCGTTCGTGTGTTCACTGTCTTGATATCAATGCTGAGAAACGGAGGGGCGGAAGAAGGTGTGCTGCACAAAGTAACCAAACGGAATCGGTGCAAAGAAAAAATGCACAAAAGTAGTGATGGACTTAAAATGGTTAATGAAATGAAATGAGATGAGATGAGATGAGTTGAGTTGAGTTTATATGAGATCAGATCAGATGTGATGTGATGTGATGTGATGTGATGTGATGTGATGTGATGTGATGTGATGTGATGTGATGTGATGTGATGTAATGTAATGTAATGTAATGTGATGTGATGTGATGTGAATTGATGTGATGAGATTAGTTGAGATATGATCAAATAATGATTTTTGAGATTATATCTATTTTGGTCTATTAGATCTGATGGCTCTATTTTTAGATCAGATATTATGAGATGTGACGACATTAGATGGGATGAGATGTTTGAGATGAAATGAGATCAGCTGTGTTCAACTGAAATTAGATTTGATTAGATCAGATGAGATTAATCTAGATGTGAAAGGACTTGATGATTTTCGCTGAGTTGATCTCTTAATTTATTATATCTTATTTGTTTTGTCGTTATGAGTTTATAGATAAAAGTTGTACAAAATTTCACTTGTGGTCTGACTCGATCGTCACCTTGCTCACTGCTAAGTCCTTTACAGTCTGGATCATTTGTTTGAATATTGTGTGAATTTTTTTTGCTATAATTGTGATTAGAAAAAGAGTTTATAATCGAAATATCACGAGAGTTTAGCCTGACTAATCACTGTGCATTTTAAAAATAAATATGCAGTTTTCATTATGATGGTCGTGCAGATATATGTCCATACTCATATAAATTATATTTTTTGGTCCTTCATTATATCTTATATAAGTGTTATTGTCACCCTACATGAAAGACTGACAGTTGAACTTTCTCACATTGTTCCTTACTAGGCGCCATGAAGCAATTGAATTTCATTTGGCTTTACTTCCAAAGCTTATTTTCATCCGTAATGGATTGAGCTTCACTTTCGTACTTGCCCAAGTCTCATATCAGAAACCTCTCTACTGTAATCGACCCGTGGTTCTACTTCGTATACTTTCCACTTGAGCGGATCACAGGGAATATATGACTTTAATGGCAGACAAGACCTTTTCTATTTCACATTAATAGTGAAATTGTTCATCTTGAAAACCTGTTTTTTTCATTACAATCTAATACTTTAATTATATTCATTGCTTTGCAGTATCAAACTCATCCGCAGGATGAGTCCTTATCACAAGAAACTCTATCACTGTTCCCATGCGCTACGAACTAAATGGAAACAATTCTTAACTTCTATAACATTTAGAGTTTCACATTAAATTTTATGTATATTAACTTTTGTTCCCAGGGCTAATTTGATATTTTTACTTTACAGCCTTCTTCGAGGGAAATTTGCAAGCCATCACTTTGTGCCAGGTATGCCTACCTGTTTTTCTCTAAAAAATCTCTCATTACCGAAAAGTACATTCTCGTTGAGCGCTTTCACCACAAACACAATTTAGATTCCATTCTCTTCTATACCACTTTTAATAGTAATTTATTCAATGATTTCTATATTAGGTCTTCTGTTCTAGATACATTCAAATTCGTGATTTTCATTGCCGTCACAGTCATATAGACAATTGTTTTAAATCAAAATCCAAGTCACAATCAGCATTATAATGAGCATCACGATCAGTACGACAGTCACAATTGCAATCGGCATCGAGATCAGGATCAGGATCTTTACTATTCGAAATTGTAATGATCAGTGAAGGCTACCAAGTTAATTCTGATTATTTTACTTTTGACCAAAATTGATGCTGCTGCCTCTTACCATGGCTATTACATGCTTTTCTCCATACTAGCCACCTTGCTCATATCTATAATCTAAATCATGATTGTCACCTGGATCATATCGATATTGGCCTCATATCTTGCGTTTTGTAGATCACCTGGGACAGGTTGATGAAAAAAGAAAATGACGTTAATTGAAGATGCTTTGCAGAATTATAAAGAGGTGCCAAATGGGTTAGCTATAGAGCATAAAGGTTTACCTGTGCATAAGCTCATTTGTAGTTCTTTAGGTACAGAGAACTTTTCTTTGATATGACTCTGGGTGATCTTGGTCCTCCTTTTTTTCAATGTCCAGCCGAATTTTTCTTTAAGCAGATGCTAGGTGGGCAAAGGCTGAGTGCGGTGATCGCTACTCCTAGGCAGCTAAGGTTATGCGAGCTGTAGCGGAAGTCCTTTGGACGGTGCGTCAGCGTTTTTCACCGTCCCAGGATCGACGGTATCGTGGGGAAAAATCAGTTTAACTGGGCGGTTTTCCTATTAGATACATTTTTATATGTGAGGGTCGGCTTACAGTTTGACCAATGGCAGGCTCAGGTATGACTGACAACAAATGTAATAGGTCCACGCCTCAGTGCATGAGTCAAGAAGGGAAGTGCTTATTGGTTTTGTATTTATGAAAGGTAAGAAATAGGACAGGTGTCGCGAGGCGAGGGTAAGCCGATGTGATGAGATAGTTTAGTGTAGACTCATACGAATTTCCTGATTGAAGTCATATTTGCCGCCTACGGTTACTGGTTTGTCTAAATATAACAAGACCATACAGGTATTTAGTTCTAAGATTCTTATTTCTTTGTTTTCGCCCCAATACTATTTTTCTCATTTCTTTGTATGTCAAAAATAAATATTTTTCTCTTCTGCATTATTCTTCTCAAGACATGGTAAAAATTCAGCCTTGTCGGTAGCTGAAGGCAAGACATTGCTGTTCTCGGACGTCAGACATAATGCACGGTCAAGAATTACTGTTCCCCCAGTGCGGACAGATTCTTTAAGTTCAAATTTCGTCTCAGCCGATTCTCACTCTTCGATGCTAACGACCTCTGCGGTTTACCCGATGGACATGGAATCAACCGCTGACCGCTTACAAGGAGTTATGAAGACTGAACGTGGTATTGTCACTGCGAATTGCGAGAGCCTAACTGTTCCAACTGCGGAAAAATCATTTACATTTGGCAGTTTAAATGTGGCTGAAGCTACAAAAAC